GTTTTCATTACTTTAACTAATGTACTACCTGTAGTGCAGAGAGAGAAATTCTAAACTAATGAACACTTCTGTCTACCAGCTCTTTATAGAGTGCCCATCATCCATCTTTCACTTCTGAATTTCCAGTAGGGATTCTGAAGAAGGCAACTTTGTAAGTATCCTAAGTAGGTTTCATTCTATTATTTTTAATCTCAGCTCTCACTTCCCATCCCAGAAATGCCAACACATACAGGAGGGATTATGTTCATACCAGTAACATTATTTTGATGTAAAAGTAGGGGGAGGTGGGAAATTTGTTCACTGCTCTTACTCTGCTGTATCCGCATTCAGGGCACAAATATTAATTGATTTCTGCAGGGCAGGTGGAATTTGAGACCATATTTAATTATGTTCAGAATCCATGCAATGAAACTTTGTTTTATGCCTCTACAAAGCAATTTTAATATAAATCATTATTAAAGAATCCTAATGAAAACCCATCAGTTTCAGTGGGGTTGCATGAGTGTAGATGAGAACCTAGTTTGTGAATTTATAAATGTCCCTTTCTGCTTGGATTGAAATTGTCTTGCAAATACTTTACACTATTTGCACTTTCACTTCTGTGAGTTTTGATAGGAATGAAACTTTGATTGGAGTGTATTTTAAAACAGCCTCTAAATATATAATTTATATTGTACTATGCTTTTTCCAGGCCAAGTTATATGCTTATATCTGCATATGGAATTCACTCATATCTGAGCAAAATTCTGTCCTCACTTTTTACTTTGAACACAAGACATCTTGCACTGTGGAGAAGTGTCCATAACAAATGACTGTTCCAATATAGCTGTGTAACTTCTTCAGGTATACATAGATTCCAAGGCCAGAAGGGACCATTCTAATCATCTACTCTGACCTCCTGTGTAACACAGACTATAGAATCTCCCGCAAATCATTCCTCCAGAGCAGATATTTTAGAAAAACATCCAATCTTGAGTTCAAAATTGTCAGAGATGGAGAATCCACCAGGACCCTTGGTAAACTGTTCCAGTGGTTAATTACTCTCATAATTAAAAATTAGTCTTATTTCCAATCTGAATTAGTATAGCCTCAACTTCCATCCATTGGATCATAATATGCCAATGTGATGCTACACTGAGGAGCCCATTGTTCCCCATGTAGGTATTTAGACTGTAATCAAGTCACCCCTTAACCTTCTCTTTGTTAAGCTAAATAGATTGAGCTCCTTGAGTCTACCACTATAAGGCATGTTTTATAATCCTTTAATCATTTTATGGCTCCTCTCTCCAATTTGTCAACATCCTTCTTGAATTGTGGACACCAGAACCGGACACAGTGCTCCAGCAGTGTTCACTCCAATACCAAATACCGAGGTAAAATAACGTCTTCTAGATTCCCTTGTTTATGCATCTAAGGATCTCATTTGCTCTTTTGTCCACAGCATAGCACTGGGAGCTCTTGTTCAGTTGATTATCCATGATGATCCCCAAATATTTTTCAGAGTCACTGCTTCCCAGGGTAGAGTCCTCCACTGTGTCAGTATAGTCTATATTCCTTGTTCCTAGATGTTTACATTTGGCCATATTAAAACACATAGTGTTTGCTTGCACCCAGCTTGCTAAGGAATCGGGACTGCTTTGTATCAGTGACCTGCCCTCTTCATTCTTTACCACTCTCCCAATTTTTGTGTCATCTGCAAACTTTACCAGTGATGGTTTTAAGTTTTCTTCCAAGTCATTAATAAAAATGTTAAACAGCATAGGGTCAAGTACCAATCCCTGTGGGACACCATTAGAAACACACCCATTCGATCATGACTCCCCATTTACAATTTTATTTTGAGACCTATCAGGTAATCAGCTTTTAATCCATTTAATGTGTGCCATGCTAATTTAAGATTGTTCTAGTTTTTTAATCAAAATGTCATGTGGCACCAAGTCAAACACCTTACTAAAGTCTACATATATTACATCAACACTATTACCTTTACTAACCAAACTTGTAATCTCATCAAAAAAAGGTATCAAGTTAGTTTGACAGGATCTATTTTCCATAAACCCATAGCATTAATTTTATTACCCTCCTTTAATTCTCTGTTCATAGAATCCCATATCATAAAAGTCATAACAGATCAATCATCGTTATGGACCATGTTCCACTGTTTGTGGCACTGTGTATTCAAAATAAATGTGGTCATCAAAGTGGATGGGGAGGAGATAGAGCCAGATCTCTGCTGTCCCATATACACTGGTCAGTGAAACAGGCCAACTGTGCCTGATGGAATAAGCTGTACCCCAGAAAGGGGTGTACTATTGAAGTTTAGAGAGATAGGCATCCTTCCTCCCTCACCTGACTACTTCCTGCTCCCCACCCTCCAACGGCTTTGTGGATCTGCACCACATGTTACTGTGGGCTGCTCCCAAAATTCATAATAATGCCCTATATCTTTACTAAATCTTGCAGTCAAGACACACAATAGAATTTTATGGAATGCGCAACTAAAATGTACATCCAGCTTTACAAGCTATCAGTGCTACACATTTTCACATCTCCTGCACTTTTAGACTGTGATAAAATATTTGTAATTCCCAAAGAGAATATGATCATAAAACATAATAAATGACCTCTTTAAACCTATCAACTACTTACTGCATGTTAAATATGTTCTGTTGGTTGAATTCCTAGGCTGCCAAAATATGTTTAAGTGCAAAAAGCCAAAAAAGACACACTAAGATCTACCTCCTCTGGGTTTGATCCCATAGATCTTATGCTTTTGTACTACAACTTGCATGAGGTCAATGGGGGTTTTGCAGGAAAAGGACCCAAGGACTGGACCCAATCATTTTCTGAACAAAATTTGTTTATGTTTCTAACACAAACAATTTATAACTTATGTTAGCACTACAGATGGCTTTAGGCACCATCAAGGAAATAACCAGCTATGACCTGATTCCAGAATCTTATTGTTGGTGATTTTCTAGTGATGATGCATAAAGCAAAGAAATCATCTTGATTTTCAGAAACTATGATGAGCTTGCAATTTGTCAGCAAGAAAAATCATGTCTCTCTCTTTCCAGGGTGCCATCTTTTTTATTTCCTTGCAGGCCCCATATCTGTTTCTTCTCACAGGCTTCCAAGGACCGTAACATTCCTGTCTTCATGGTTATTTCCAGGTGTCTCTAGCTTGCTATGATAATTTCAGCCAGTTAAGCTTGATCCGACTATGTCATGATTATTACTCAAAATTCAAGAGATGCTATGATCATTGCACATAGCTTTTTTCCAAAAGATCCAGGATGACATTTCAAACTATAACAAAGGAATGCATGTAAAATTTACTGGATCCTAATTTGAAATAAGCCACGAAGTTACCACCCTGGACTTGATATCATATCTCATAATCATAAACTAAACTTGGTTAGTACTTGGATAGAAGGCCTTCAAAGGCTGATTCGGTAGGTGACACTCTTCTTTCCAAGTTTTTATTAAACCATTGACCCAAAATACTATAGTTCTGGAGACGTTTTTCTCTGGCTGACATAAAATGGCAGTTGAGACCACTTGTGATCATTAAAACCCCCTAGCATTTTCCACAAGCGCAGAGGTGGGAACCTCAGAATACTGGCCAAATTCAAAGTGGGTAATTGTATTCTGCTTACCAAATATTTCCCCTTCAGTTTCATTCAAATAAGTTATTCTTCACTTCCTGTCCTAAGCTGTTATGGAGGGTTGTTGACAGCTATTGAACAGATGCTATATTCAACTCCATCCAGAGATGGCTTTCATTAGTGATTACAATAAGTGATTTTGTATACTCTTTAAGAAGTTTATAAAACAGTTTAGGATTTGTCTGGATAAAAAGCTCTGGAAGTAGGCTACTACTGGCTGCAAGATGCTAGAACTAGTCAAATAAGGACAAATATATTCACCAAAAATACATTCAGTAATTGATAGGAAAACATTCGAATACATTCTATATAAATACGATTTGACCTGCTCTACTATATATTAAGGTAATGCATGTATGTTAAGGGCTAGATTCTGACTTTAAGCCAAGCCCTCAGAAAGAAATAATGCATGAGCTGCACCAACTATGGCTGGTCAATATATTTTATCGAAAATTCTTTGCAATTGAAAATTGCATTTGATTCAATGAAAATTTTCACTGAAAGTGTCTCATTTCCTCAAAAATGTTTGATTTTTTTCATTGGAATACTGAAAACTAAACAGCAAAAATTTTTTGGCTAAAAGCTGAAATTGGTTTGGTTTTTGAGAGTTGTTAGCCCCAAATCTGTCATTTTGGGGCTTAATGTTTATGGTTTTCGGTTATTGAAAAGTGAAACGTAATTTTTTAAAGAAAAGTTAGAATTTTCCTATGAAAATTTTGATGAAAACTCCCCCCCCCCTTCATTGAAATTTTTAATGGAAAAACCCTCAATTCTCTTTCCAGCTCTAACACCAAGCCATGAGTAGTTCAGGGAGACATTGTGACTCAGAGGCATAGCTCCTCATTGCAAAGCCTATATTGCTTCATCCTTACTCCTAGGTGGTGGGGTAGTAATTTACTGCTGACCTGTAACAGCCGTAAATTACTACCCACCACCTATAATGCTGGCTCACCTACTGTAGCCAGTGAATCAATGGTGAAGCTAAGGCTCTACCATTACCCTTATCTGCCCACCAGCATCAGGGAGCAAGTAGCCCCACTGGACCGAACACCCAGGTTGCCCATGTAGGCACATATTACTGCATTAATACTTTGCATGGGCCCACAGTCAGAATTTGAAGCTAGTCTTAAATAAATAGTCATAAGGTTACAAATTATACTCATTTCCTGCTATCAGGATAACTTAGTGGTCTAAGGCTCTGCATTTAGGTCACAGTGTCCCCTGGCTGAGCTTTTTTTTCAATTTCCCACTGATGTGTCTTCCTTGCACTAGGAACATACTCAATCTTAGTAGTTTATCAACAGAAATTAATGTCATATAGAGTACACATACCTTTAACATCACTTTCTAACTTCTTGGCCTCATTAAGAACCCTGAAGCTTTTCTGAAGCGAGTTCTTGGCACTATCCTTCAATGATCCTTGAGGACCAGATGCCTGCAGACCAACAAGCAGTGTCATTTACAGAAAAGTATTTTTAAGCTGGTTCAGGGCAAGTTTAAAGTAATAAAAAGTATAGGAGGAAGAGCTAGCTCAAGAATCGTTGAAATTTTAAGCGGTCATCAATGTACTCTGAATTATATGCTGCTGCCATTACACTGGTTCTCCAACAGAGATTAATAAAATACTTTACATTTATTAATTTACTTTTATTTTTACAAGAAACCAGGGCTCCCTTGGAATGTCAATGATGAAGTTAACAAAAGAAACAGAAAGAGAAATTGTTTCTGAATGTAGTGAAAGCAGAATAGAATCTGGGAGTGGATTTTTTTCAAATCTATGTAAGCAGATTTTTTTCAGTCTGGATTTCTTCCTGCAACTAAGAACACAATAACATAATACAGTTCGATACTTCTCCTTAACAACAGCTATGAAACATTTAATAAATAGACTAGATCTCACAACACAGACTGTAACATAGACCAGAGAGATGTTCTCATAGCAATTGTATTTCCTGAATCAAACCAAGTCAGTCAAGGTGAAATGAATGAAAATAGGCTTAGGAGGGGGACAAAAGGGTAAGGTGTAGCTAAATCTGAAATTCTTAACTACTAAATACTATTTAAAAATCTCATTATTTGAGAATCACACAAAGCTGTACCTACAGTTCAAGGTTGATATAGGAAGAACTGTTTTTCTAAATTAAATTAGTATTTTAACTTGCTAGGAAATGCTCTAGAATCTGAATCATTTACTGTTCAGTTTGAGAGAATGAACTCCGGTCACTCCATAACACAGACTGCATTTCTTTGAGAATACTCTTGACAGCCAGATAACATTTTATATTAGTCATGGGTCATAGCCTTGTAACTAGTATGTAATTAAGAAGTAGCTACTTTTCATTTTCCAGGGCAGATACATGTACTTAAAAATTAATTACGTGCCAATTAAATGACACTGTTATTATTTAATATTTATATTCCGATAAAGCCCAGAGGTCATATTTTTGAACACTTTTAGATTTCTCCCACTTCTCTTATACATTAGAGCCCATACATTTGCCTAACCATATCAAAATCTTGGCAGAAGCCCTGAATTCTTTGGAAATTCAATACACGCTCACAATGCGGTTCTCTGTAAGACAGCGTTTTACTGCTTAAGGTGCTGTACTCGATATACGCACAGCTACCAGCTTCAGGCTCCTTGTTATCGTATAGAACTGAAACACATACTTCAGTGCTTTTCTGAATAGGGACTGACTAAAGCATGTGCTTAAGTGCTCTCCTGAAACAAAATCCAGGTGACTACATTATTGTGCAATAGTATTCCATACTTCCAAGCTCACTTAGGGCTTCACAGACCCAAAGTCTGCAGTCCCTGTGCACGTGGAACTGCTGATTTCAACATACCAATGAAAACTGCAGAGCTGGGATTTATATATCTATTTTTAACATAGAGTAACAGCTAATATAATTCATTGCACATGTAGTAAAAATGATACCCATAATCCCTTAAAAAGAGTATCCGTGAGGAATCATTACTTGATCTCCAATGCAATAAGGGAATTGCTCCTTAAGGAGGCATGTTTGGCCAGTTTTGGCAGCAGATACACCTGTCAAATCAGATTATGTTTTTATGTTCTTTTTCCTTTGAGCTTTGGAAGCTAGGGAATGATTACTCTGTGAGCACAGAACTTCAGATCTAATGATCATTTTTGTTATTAACAACAATTTGCTGGGCTTGCTTGACTGGCTATTAAAGCAGTTTATATTTGATAGAATGAAGTGGAAAGGCTGCAATTTGCAATGCAAAAACAAGATGTGGGTTGAATAAAGGGCTGAGTAATTAAGGCCAGGCTGATATTTCTGCCAGAAACCCTGATTGCACTCCATATAGCTTAAAGATAATATTTACAAAGACCTTTTCAGCGATAAATAGAGATGTACAGATTGAAAACAGTTTAAAAGGAAATATGCTATTCAAAAAGTCAACTAATCAAAACATCTTATACAAAGTGTGCATTTTGGTGATTTGTGGTTCATAAGATATTGACTTAACGAAAAGCACAGACATTACCAATATCTTACTGTGTGCAACATGAGTGTTCATGTGTGTAGGCAAGTGTGTGTGATGGTGAACTCCTTCATGTTTTAATAGCAGGTGATACTGTGTGTTTAGACATATGGATTGATACTGTATTTAGATTTCCTGTATCAGTCCATATGCTAAAAAATAGATAATAGAAAAAGAAAAGCACTGTCAAACGACATCCATCCTTCCGTCGGTGGTACGTGTCCTCACCAAAGCACTTCCACCAACTGAAGAGGGGCAGTGTGGGGGGCTGAAAGCCAGAGCTCTCAGCTTCCCGCGGCTCCCTGCTGGGAGCCCAACTGCCCCCTGGGCTTTTCGCCTCCCTGCCGGAAGAAGGGGGCAGCCACCGAGCAAGGAGCGGGGAGCCAGGAGTCCGGGCAGCAGCCTGTTTGGGAACAGGGAGCCCAGGGGCAGCAGGGCTGTCTGCAGGACTGGGGAGCACAGGCAGCAGTGCGGTTGGGAGCAGGGAGCTCTGATGGCAGCCAGGCTGTAGCTGGAGGCCACCACAGGCCCCACGGCCTCCTTGTCATGGCTGGAGCTGTGAGACTGACAAGAATGACAGCCACCAGCCAATGGAAGTAATGCAGCATCTACTACACTGCGTTGCCCTAACTACACCGACATAAGCCCTACGCCTCTCGTGGAGGTGGAGTTATGTCTTCGGTGTAGTATGGCACTTGCGTCAGCGGGAGCAACTGACACAATCAGGTTAACACAAGCTGCCTTATGTCAACCTAACTCTGTACTATAGAACAAGCTCTTGTTCCTTGATCTTGCTTAGTAGACCGCACCTGCACTTTTAAAAAAGATCACATTAAAAATATCTCTTGAAGCACCACTTTAAAACTGATTCTAAACTCTGAACTACAAGCCAAATCCTTTCTCATGATTCAGCTTTTCAGTCAGTTAACCCAATCACCATCACCACCCACAATAAGTGATGGGCTGCGGAAAGCTGCTTGAATGCTGGAGATGCAGCATCAGTGATTAATTTATTTTGCTTTTAAAAGGGAGAATTAATCCATCATAAAAAAATGGGAGGAATTCTTCTGTCATATTTTAAAATATGGATTATCTTTTCTAGTCATCTATCAGGCTTCCTGCTAGTGAAATGCTTCTTAGTCTCTTTTAGTTCTAGCTTTTAACACTGTTAATTTCATTTGAAAAGAAAGCATCCTTTCCATTAACATAAATAAAACCCTAAAATGACCACTCATCACACTTCTATGTAAGAATCTGTGTGATACAGAAGTAGGTATTTTATTATATGTTATGAAGGGTAGGAATGGCAAACACGTAGCAAGAAGAACTCCCCTAAACTCATTACTTTACATTAACTCGTTACTCCCTCCACATTCCTATTTTTCTATCAATTAGATCCATATTCTATACAACTTGCATAAAACAAATAAGGTTATATCTATTGAATCCATAAGAATGAGTACCCTTAAAAATGGTGTCTTAATCATGCCTTGGTCTCCGTACTTGGTAATCATTTGTCTCTATTTATATCATACTGTCCACATCCTTTCTTCATTCCATTTCGAATTATCTATCCTCTTTCTCTCTATAGTATAATCAGCTGGTTCATTGCCTCTCTGACATATGCCCTTTTGTAGCCATATAGCAATCACCTGCTTTGTTTCCTGACTATTGCATCTCTCTTCTTTCCCGTTCAACCATCATAACATCTGTCTCCCTCACTGTCTCTGGGGCATCAAAGGAGAAAAAGATAGAGATATTTTTCTGGTTTTTTATTCTGAAAATAAACCCACTACTCTTTATTTGCCTTTGCTTTAAAACTGGTAATTCTGATAGAAGGAACTATGTTTATAGCTCCCCAGCACACATCAGTATGTGAGGCTCCATGTTCCCATAAAGAGATAAATTCAGTAATTAGTGCTACTTGAACTGTAAGTTAATATTTAAAGTTGCAAAAAATGTGACCAACACCGATTTAAAATCCAGACCTTATTATCTTGTTCATGAATATGGACTGGTCACATTGTCCTTATTTCTAGCCTTGTAACTCTGAATCCACAGGGCTTTGTATTATTTCTGCTAGCTATCTGTATCATTGCAGTTTCTTTATCTGGTATAGGGATTTTCCAATTTCACTGTTTTCTGCCATCTGCAGGGGTATTTTCAGCCTGGGTGTCTGTGAAGTGCAGGTCAGCTGGTCACATATTTGCCTCTATAAATAAGCTTTTAACTCCTTCATTACTCCCAATACAAAATATCCCTGGCTTTCTGCCTCTGCTGAGTTTGTTGTAGAGCAGAGGTAGTTCCTTCATAGTTGAGGTTAAAGGGCTAGCTTCCCATTATAATACCCATTTAAAATCCCTCTAGTTGCCTTGACCCTCCCAAAGAACCAACCCTCTGAAATTTTACTTGTTGCATCTCATCTTGGGGATGAAGCTTGGTACAGTTTGTAAATGCAGTTTTTTGCTGCCAGTGTTTAAAAATCGTTCTGCCATTCACTTTCCAAAAAATCTTCCTAAGTTTGTGTGGGTCATCACATCTGCAGGGTGGACTGGCCCCGCCATCTCCAGTTCTGTTTTGTTTCAATGGCCTTGTTGTGGTGAAATGCCCTTAAATATTTTTAGGGAGCTATTGTGGGGGATTGCCAAGATAAAGATTTCTTCAGAACATTGACTTGAAACTGACCTGCTTCTGTCTCAAGGCTTTGTTGCAGAAGCTGCTAACTTGAGTGAGGGATGGGGGGTGAGGGGAGACATGGGCAGAAGGGTATGAGAGAGGAATAAAAATAAAGGGGAAGTAGTCCAGAAAAGGACAGTGTAGGGGGCACAGAGAGGAGAAAATGGGATCAGGAGGGACATAGACTAGGAGTATGTGGAGATAGGATCTCAGAACTGGGGGGCTCCTGCAGTAGGAGAGGGTATAGATAGAGCAGTAGGATGATAGCACATGGAAGTTGGAATGAAGGGGGTGCAGGGAGCCAGGGGTATAGAAGCAGCCTGAGCTTCCCTTCCAACAGACACTATTCACTTTTCTTACCAGTTGCATAGCTTCATTTGCACGGGCCTTGGCCTCCCTGGAGAGTCTCTCTGCTTCATCAATATAGTCCTTGATATTGCTATATGCCTTGAAAGCTACAGTGGCATTGAATGAGAGGTTTTTAGCTTCAGCAAGGATTCTGTTAGGGTGGAAAAGGTACGGCACACCATTAAAAACCGCAGTTGTAGCTCAACAGAGCAAAATGGATTGGCACTCTGAGCCAAACAGCCCAGATTTCTAATGATTGGCTCTAGTGCACAATGCCATATTTGAGGTTTCCGAAGTGTGGGTGCTAAGTGTTTAAAGGGGGTGTCAAATTTTATTTTCTTAGTGTCACATGGAGCAACAATAGTTTTGTGTACTGTGGGTTGAGGAGATATTTCACATTGAAAGGAAGAATGGTCCAGTGGTTAAGGCATTAGCCTACGACTCAGGAAACCTACGTTCAATTTCCTGCTCCACCACAGACTTCCTGGGTGATCTTGGGCAAGCCACGGTACAGCTCCACTTCGAGCTTGAGATGTAATTTCCATCTTGAGAAGATGGACCTATGCTAGCTCACTAAAAATAGCCATGTAGCTGCAGCAGCGTGAAGGGCCAGCTGCCTGAGTACGTACTCGGGGAGGCTAGCTCCTCCAGAGGCTACATTGCTATTTTTAGCATGCTAGCTTGTTGAGAGCTAGTATAGGTATGTGTCCTTGGGTCACAAAGTACATCTTTAGCTCTAAGTGTAGAATCACCGTTAGTCTCTCCGTGTCTTAGTAATATTGATATCACACCACCCCTGTGAGGTTAGCCAAGTTCTGAGGTTAAATACATTAAAAAGATTGTGAGGCACATAGATACTATGGTAATGAGGTCCACATAAATACCATAGATAGCTAATAGAAAGTACAAATGTCTAGTGTCTAGGTGTCTGAGGTAAACAGCTTTATCCTGATACAACAGTGGTTCTCGAACTTTTGTACAGGTGACCCATTTCACATAGCAAGCCTCTGAGTGCGACTCCCCTTATAAATTAAAAACCCCTTTTTTATATATTTAACATCATTATAAATGCTGGAGGCAAAGTGGGGTTTGGGGTGGAGGCTGGCAGCTCGTGACCCCCCACGTAATAACCTCCCGACCCCCAGTTTGAGAACCCCTGTGATACAAGGTGACAGGATATCCCCACACAAGACCGTTCAATTCCTCTCCCTCTTGATCTCACACATAAGACCATATTAAAAGCTTCAGTTTTTAAAGATTACTTTTCAGATATGACTCCATTGAATGTGAAACTGGTAATTTTGCAAGTATCAAATCAGATACTTTATCTGAGGTAATAGTGTGGCTTGTTCCCCAGAGATACTGTACACTGGCATGGAAATAGCTGCTAAGAGCTTCTACTCACAAGTCTCTAGAATTGGACCTGCTAGTTATCTGCAGAAGATGTGGGCACCGAGATAAATTGCTTGTTCCAAAGCTGTAAGCTATTGAGGGAGTTTTAAAAATATACACTTTAAAATATGTGATTTTATTCATGTAGCAGCTTTGAAAAAATAAAAATGGCCGAAGGTGGGCAGCTGTGCTACAGCAGGCTACCAGGGATTATGAGGTCCGTGTTCTGAGCGCTATACCTTCAGCAAGTCACTCTTCCTCTTCATTCCTCAAGGTATGTCTAAGACTGCAATCACTGGTGTGATTGCAGCTCGAGTAGATATACTTGAGTTAGCTTTACTCTAGCTAGCTTGGGTCCTGGATCCGTGAAATGTAGCAGCAGGGTTCTGGGCAGATTTATACAGCCAATGCTGAAGCAACTTCACTGCTCTGGGACTTGAGCTAGCTAGATTAAAGCTAACTTGGGTATGTCTCTTCCAGCTGCAAATCACACCCAATGATTGCAGCCTAGACATATCCTCAGTCTCTCCATCTATGAAATGGTGAAAATACTACTTACCTTACAGTGTCATTGTGAGACTAAACTCATGATTGCTTGTAAAGGATTTTAAAACAGTCATCTGGAAGGTGTTACAGAAATGTTTTGGACACACAAATCCCATTGACGTTGATGAGAGTTGGATGTGCACAACACCTCTGAAAATTACGCCACTTTTATCTCAGCCTAACTTTGCCTTCTGAGGTCTGAACATTTTGGCTACTTTGGAAAGTGCTTTGAGATCCTGGGGTTCATTTCCCTTTTCAAAGTGGGGCTTTATTATGAAAATATAGCAGCAGGCAACTCCATGATGTGTGTCTCATTGATTCCCTAGCAAATTTGCTCAACTTGCATATGAAAATATTTTCGCCCCTAACTGCCACGCCTGCAAACTCACTCTGGGCTCTGAAAATTTTTTCATCTGTGAATTCATTAAATTTGATATGGAAGTGGAAAGACACAACAAACAGGGAGCCCCCAGTGCTATTTTTATAATGTCCCTTCTGTAGAGCTGAACCATATTCTGAGTGACATATTTGTATGACACTCACTGGTGTTTTTGTACAAACACCATCTACTGGATAGTCTATCAACCTTCTCAAGCTTATCAGTTTACGAGTAGGGCTGGCTGGAAAACAATAATTCCATGTTGTGAAATTTTTTTGAGGTTTTGAAATGTGTTTAGTTCTGCCCTGGAACAAAACTGAGATCTTTCAAAAAATTTTGCAAAAAAATGTAAGACAGAAACGAACCCGCCTCAGAATAGCCAATAGCCTGGTGGTCAATAGCCTAGAATGTGGGTAACCCAGGTTCAAGTCCCTGCTCTGCCTGATTTAGAGCAGAGTTATGAACCCAAGTCACCCATGTCCCAGGTGAGGGACCTAACCACCAGGCTACAGAGTCAGAGTCTCTCTCTTTCTAGCCCAGTGAATATTTAATTATGTATGCAAAGTGGAACAGCTCAAGCAGGAGAGATTGAGAGAGTGACTCTATAGCCTGGTGGTGCTCTGAACCAGGCAGATCAGGGACTTGAATCAGGATATCCCACACCCCACCTCAGTGTCCTAACCAACTGGCTATTCTTGGATGGGTTGGTGTGTCTCTCTTTCTCACCAGAAAGTCCATCCTGAATCTGAGGAACCTTTCTGTGAAAAGTTTCAGGTTTGACTAATCAGCACTTTCCTGTTTAAAAACAAAAATTGTCAGAAATTCCTGACTGGTACCGAGTTCTTTACCCTCTGGTGAATTAAGGGCTTGTCTACATGAGGAAATGGATAGGAATAGCTAATGCAGAGCAAATTATTCACAATAGCTCCCCATTTGGACACTCTGATACGTGTGCCTTTTTCCTCAGTTAGCTTAATCTATTAAAGGAGGAAAGAGTACAAGCCTTGCCCCCCATGATTACCAACAAGTAAGGAGGCATAGCAGGGAGTGACAAGCATCCCCCTCATAACTAGAGGTTGCTTTACCCCCCCCCCACCTGCCATCTCTGCTTTCCTCTTCTTCAGAGTTCCTCAGACAAAATCAACATGATCCATAGTCTTTCCCAGAACCGGGGCTCAATTCAATGGCAACAGTATTTTGTGTCTATCTGCCTCTCCACAGTCTGTTGCACATCACATCAGTTTGTATGACTCTTTCCAAATGACATGAAGGAGCTCAGCAATTGAATTCTAAACAATCTACCAAAGCTTTTGGGAACAAGTTTTAGGTATTCTCAATTTTCTGTGAAAGTGATGCTTAAATTGCTTCCTTTACCCCAGAGTCAGCAAGTGCACAAGCTGAAAGGCTGCCAATTTCAAACACACAAAGATAAAAAGACTTCTCCTTGCATGTTGCGGTGTCATTTATGACTGTGGGAAAGTGACTGTAAAAAATGCCACTAAATGAGAAGGGGTAGCATCTTACACCAATTTGCACCCACTTTGCCCTTGTGTAAATGACAACACAAGGCACAAGAGAGATCAAATTGAAAAAAATATTTTTTTAAATAGGAGAACTTCTTGTGAAAGTGTTAGTACTTTCCATCTACTGGTTGATTTTCAGAAATGTTTGGGTTTGATTATCTTGGATATACCCCAAGACATGTATAATATCTTCCTAAGCCCCATATCTAACTCAGACTTTTGATGCTCCTCCAAAGAAGTGAATCTAGCCTCTCCTAACTGGGCTCTGTATAGAGCATTGGAATCTTGTATATTCATAATCACAGAAGTTAAAGTCTGAAAATAATCCCCTTCTATTTCTGTCAGGGAATTCTAGACCCCAGGCTATGAGTGTTTTAGAAGTATGAAGAAATGGCTGACTTACCCATCCAGTATTGCAGATGATTCATTCAGCTGGGCTGCATGGTTCTCAGCCTGCAACACCTTTTCTGGAAGCATCCTGTCCTGAATATCTTGGGATAGATCGTCTATTTTATCCTTCAGCTGATCAGTGATCGGTTGTATCTTATCCCCCATGTCTTCCACATACTGAAAGCCACAAAACAAGAGTATTTAAAGAGCTGAATGCAAACAGCATAGCACTTTGCATATTGTTTCTGTATGAGATATAATCACATGTGTTTGGACATTTAATAAAACTTCAGTGAACTAATAAGGAAAAACACATCAGTGTTGAAACATGGGAACAATTAGGCTATTTTAAAAGCCACTATTCCATTGAAGACTTGACTGTCTTGAACTTGGTGTTCTTCCTTATTTCTTAATGATGTAAGAGAAAAGATAAAAACACACTTTATACACAACACTCACACACATGCACTCTTAGGGAGATATTTTCTAAATTATGGATGCAGAAATATTTATACTATGCTGTGGTGATATCCCTGAGATAAACTGCCAAGCCATATGACAAATTCTATTTATCATGCACCTTTGACTGACTCACCTACACTTTTGCTTATTAATCCATATCACTAAGGGCTACACTTTTGAAATAGCCATCACTTTCCCCCAAACAAATGACCTCAAGAGAGTTTCTAATCCACCCCCCCAAAAAAAAATATGGAATTTTCCCCCAAATTACATTTGTTTGAGGTGCAGGACAGAAATATTATTTCTTGGACCAGTGGCTGTTTTGAAATTAACTATTTTGCAAATTATCAGGGAGTGTATATTACTAAAGTATCAAACTGTAAAATCATAGCATTATAGACAAGTTATTGTAGAGGTTTCTAAAATATATTTATTTTAATTTTTCTCCATTAAAGGCCTCTCTAGCTTACACTGGTGAAAATCAGGAGTAACTGCATGAAAGAAATAAAGTTATAGCTAAACTAGCCTAAAACTGATACAAAAATAATGATGTTAAAGTTAAAACTCTCAAATATTTCTGAAAGCATTTTTTCTTCATGGCATATGAAGAATATATGGTGGCATGATTTGTTCTAATGTTTTATTGGCTGGAATGGTCTGAAGAATTTATTCGTTCAATCACTTCTTGTGACTAGTCCTCCCAAACACATGTCTATAGAAGTTTTAGGGTGGGATTTTCAAAAGCATTCAAGTGAGATAGGCACGCAAGTCCCATTGATCTACCTACCCCAAGGTCTGCAGCCACAGGCCCTTATGTAATAATTTCGTATGTTTCTTTTCTTTCTTGTGTTTCCACGCTCTTTTTATGTGTGTACATGTGCATCTAGACAATAGAGCCAAGGGTAGGACTGCCTATGGAATTCTTGCACCTGCTATTCTAAGGCCAGAATCCTTTGTTCAAACCTAGATGCCTAATACCACACTTACAGAAGCAGACAGCATCTGTAAAAAGTAAGGGATGCATATATATGCATTTGTGTGTAATACAATCAGATTGGGTCAACCTTGATCAGTTTATATACCAATTTATCCTTTACAACCAGGCTGTACACACAACAATGGAAAGCCAAGTGCTTCCAATTGAAATATTCCAACACTGATAAAGGTTGGATTAATTAGGTGTTCCTTTAATTATCCATTTAGCTACCTCAATGTGCCTACGCTCAAAAACCAAACCAAACCAAACCAAAACCACTCACCTCCACAGCTAAATTGATTTCATTTGCAAGACGGCTGGCTTCATCCAAGATGTCATTCCCTTCTTTTAGTGTTTTTTCGGCCTCTTGTCTTCTACTTTCTACAGCTTGCTTCCTTTTCTATAGGTTGAATCCACACAGTGAAATAAATTAATTAAGCAAAGGTAAAGCAGGAGTGGCCACGCACTCCAATACCCCTGCATTTTTTTCTGGGCCCCCCCACATGAAACTTCAGATACCTTCAGAGATATTAGAGCAAAAAATAAAAATACAGCATGTCTCAGTAGCAAAGATAGTCAATATCTGAGTTTTATATTGCCCCACCACAGAACTGCCTCACCATAGCACTAGAGTAGAATGAGTTTGAAAAGTCAGAAATCCCAACCCTTTCTCTTCTTTTGATAGAGTTATTTTCCCCAAGTATGACAGTGAATTAGCCCAAAGCAAAATGTTGTGAAGATTCCTGAAGTATTCATATTAATTTTCATTCTTGCTTTTAATTGTTGATCCCACATTTAATAAAAGTTTCCAGTTTGTCGGGTTTGGGTTTTTTGACACCATTGCTTTATTAGTTTGTGAAGCAACCTTGGGACTTTCATGTTTCCAACTAGTGGATACTGCATACATTGCACAAGAGGGATGGCACTCATTTGTCTCTAGTTCAAAGTACTAGCTACATCATGTACAGAGCCATTAAGCATCACAGAGTAGATTGACAGCAGGCCATAAAATTGCATCATTCAGGCAAACAGGAAAGTGCAATGATGGCCACAAATTAAGAGAAAGGGAAAAAAGATGGAAATCTCAGAATGATGAAGAGAGCAAAACCATTGGTAGAGGGGACTCTTCACAGCATTCAGATAATTGTTATTACTTTATTAATTATTATTATTAATTGTATCATCTATTGTGTTAGGGAGTGCATAAGAACCTAGATAAAAGACAATCGCCCCATCTTCTCTGCTCTAACCCCATTGGAAGAGAAATGTAGAGCAGCTGATATTTTCTAACTTCTTTACAATACAGCATCTATCTGTAAATCAATCAAGCGCACAAACCTCTGATGAAAACTCAGGTCCTGGAACTCTAACCTCATCACTGTATATTAGGCAAAAGCACATCGAGAGCAACGAGAGTTTGAAACATTTATCTTCATTTATGTTTGACTCTGCTCTTTCTATCTTGGATAAATGCTTGTTAATGAAAAGTATAATGTGCTTTTCAAGTCTTTGCAATTAAAATTAAATCAGAAGCAGACTCCCTTGCTACCAAGGAGATCATTTATAACAGCTACTAACTACGCAAGATATACTTTGATTTATTACTCTTTAACATCTACACACCCAGTTCATTTCTTTCTAGAGGTGGGATATAAAGGTGAAAGTGCAAGGCTGCAAGATGCAAATAGAGGATAGTGAAGACTTTAATTGGTCTCTTGCTAAAACTTTAACCCAGGGTTTAAATTTTGCATAGGGACTTTTGTGGGTCTTTGCACTGGGATGAATTTCACCCCACATGCACTACAGGGATCCAGGGCATCCTTCACCTGAAATTTCTTAGAGTTCTATTTGCTTTTTAGAAGAAATAATAAGAATGATGAAGAGAGAAAAAAACATTCATTGAAGGGGCTCTTCACAGCATGTATATATTCTGCTGGTTGTAAAAAGTTCATGTGAACCAAAGGGGTCAGAGTTCCAGATTCTGGTCTAACCCTCAAGATGGTGGTAAATCAAGGGTACCTGATCATCAGCACTAACCTCTATCACTGTCATGTTTCTTTGGTTGATTGCAGATAAGCGATTGGCCTCCCTAATTTTACTACTGGCTTCTCTCAGCAGGTCTCGAGCATCGTCAACCTTGTTTTTGTAATCTGCCATCTTGTCCCTGACCTCATTCTTGAGCTCCTCATTTTTCTCTGTGGGCTCTCCAAATAATTTCTTCACTTTGTTCAAAAGGGCTTCTGCATTTCTGCAATTCCCACCAACACAAACAAAAAACAGGCATAGAATTCAACTTCACCACACCCAGTAATCTCATCATTTTTAATTCCATAACAGCTGAAATATTCATTTGAAATAGAAGTGGAAAACAACTTTGAAGAGAGTACACATTTAGTAAAACAAAAGGACAAGTTCATATTAGATTTTCTTATGGAATTTTAAATTCGCCCTGAGTCCTTATTTAGAAAATGGTCTTCAGGGAAGTCTTTTTTTATATTATCATTTTTGCTATCTGACTGATGAAGTGAGTTTTTGTGAATCACTACACTTGTCAAAAAGCATCCCCTCATCCACATTAATGTGACAAGTGTCACAAAGTGGTCCATTACCTTGAATGGAGGGGACATGCCTGATCTGAAGCTGTCTCAAAGCAAAGCTTCAGACAAGCTGTGAGAGTCAGTTTGAAATAATTAATTCTGTTCCCTTTTTCTTTGTTACAAACAACCTCTAGAGGGTTAGACACTTTTTAAAATGAAAGCTGAGATTATGACATAGTCTCACGATTACAGGAGGTGGCGCTTTAAGAAAAATATCAACCATCACAAAATTCTTCATAAAATCATGAGAGTAGGAAAACTTTATGTGTAGCTATTTACTTTGGGGTTTTTGGTGAGAAAGTGGTGGATTTTTTTTTTTAATTAGGTTCAGTAACGTGCCCTTCATGTGGACTGGGAGGAATAGGATTACAGACCTGAATTCAAATTTAAACACTGAAATAAGAAGGGGGAAAAGCAACAACTGCAAGTAAAGTTCTATTGACTATAGGAGCAAGAAGATGACTTCAAAGGGAACAATTAAAACAGTCTTCTTCCTTACTTAGCACGTAGAACTTCATGGCAAACACAGGGAAGTGGGAGATCCTAGTCACTTGGGTCCTTGGGCAAAATCCTGAAAATTAGCCAACCAGAACCAGTGACTGTCCAAAATCATTTGATAAAAGAGTAAACATGATTAATTACTTCAAAGTAGTCATAAGAGTTGTAATCCCCTTCAAAATGGAAATGTTTCAAACAGGCTTTTTTTCCTGAAAACTATGAATTTTAAAAAGTATAAATACATCATTTTAAGGATAGCATTTTTAACCCCTTTCCCTTATAGAATGACTTAATACCTCCAGAAAGAGTCTGATTGGACAATTTCCAGAAAAACTTTTTTATGGTAATGCTAAAAAAACCCAACTTTTTGTTGAAGTCAATGGCAAAAGTCCTTTTGGCCTATAATACTTCAAATATGGAAAAACATATCCTTCTGAATGCCTTTGCTGGTGGATAATTTTACACAAATGTTAGCACTTTCAGGAATCCAAGGGCTACAAAATAGATATGAAATATCAGAATCCTTTTCTCTTATGTTTCGGTGACCTCCACTTTTGAAATCCCATCGGAATGGATTACGATCATATTAATCAGACTCATCTTATTGGGCTCAGGGGAGGTTGAAGCTTGTGGCCCTTCTACTTACTCTAACTCATCTTGGGCTGCCCTTTCTTGCACATTCAACTTTCTTCTTCTCAGTTCTCTCATCATTCTATCAATATCACTCTGCAGAGCCTGAAGGCTTTTCTCCAGGGTCTTGTCTTGGATTCGGAGCGTCTCATTCAGTTTTACAGCATTTTCATTTACAGCTGCAGATTTGGGGGCAAAACACACATATAGGAAATAAGTAAATAAAAGTGACACAGAGACTTTCAGCATCCGCACATCATCACCATCACCAAGGGAAATGCAATTTGCAATGGGTATTCCTGCTGTGAAATATAAAAGGCAGTTAATCCAACAATCAGTAACAAACGAGAAAATGACAGGTTTCAGAGGAACAGCCGTGTTAGTCTGTATTCGCAAAAAGAAAAGGAGTACTTGTGGCACCTTAGAGACTAACCAATTTATTTGAGCATGAGCTTTCGTGAGCTACATCACTTCACTGATGAAGTGAGCTGTAGTTCACGAAAGCTCATGCTCAAATAAACAAGAAAATGTTATATGTTCCATCAAATCCTTTATTGTATTTCACTTTCAGGCACAGTAATTAAAGTAAGGAAGCTTTATATCTAAAGTAAGAAATATATATAGAAAATAGGTACCAAACCCTGGAAACGTCAGGTGATTTCCTGAGTTACCCAGGAAAGAATTTTCTGTAGTATCTGGCTGATGAATCTTGCGCATATGCTCAGGGTTTAGCTGATCGCCATATTTGGGGTCGGGAAGGAATTTTCCTCCAGGGCAGATTGGAAGAGGCCCTGGAGGTTTTTCGCCTTCCTCTGTAGCATGGGGCACGGGTCACTTGCTGGAGGATTCTCTGCTCCTTAAACTACGATCTGAGGACTTCAATAGCACAGATATAGGTGTGAGGTTTTTTGCAGGAGTGATGGGTGAAATTCTGTGGCCTGCATTGTGCAGGAGGTCAGACTAGATGATCATGATGGTCCCTTCTGACCTAAATATCTATGAATCTATAATTTGGGACATTGAGCAGGGAGTGAGGGGGTGGGGCAAGAATGGAATGAAAAAGTGAAACGTAAATGAGTTTTAGAGGACGGTTTACTGTTTTTAAAATTCAAGTTTACTAACGATAAGAAGAATAAATGATGGAGATCCTCCTCTGAAAATGGAGAGCAAATGAGCACTGGTAAGAGAGCGCAAGCTTATGTGTTTATACACAGAAACACAGAAGGAGAGAAGGGGGGAAAAAGGCAAAGACTGCACAGTGGTGTGTATAAAAGTTTATGGGCATGTGTTCAAGATGGCTGAATTACTCATAAATGCCAAAGCCACTATGCAGGGCATCTCATTCTAGTACTGATAAAATATTTATGCCATAACACTCCATGGTATATTCAGAATATACTGTGAATAAAATTTTCTAAAGCATCTATATGACTTAGATGCTTAGAAGCCCCATTTTCAGAAATAATTTAGGCATTCTGGAGCAAAAGTTCCACTGACTTTCAATGCAAAGTGCCTTAGAATATGTCTACACTGCAGTCAGAGGTGTGACTGCAACATGGGCAGACGTACCCTAGCTAGCTCTCATCTAAAAGTAACAATAGCAGTGAAGCTGCAGTAGCAAGGGCTGTACAAGCCTGTCTAGGACCTCGGGTCTGTACTCTAGTGGCTAGCCCATGTTGTTGCAGCTTCAGTGATATTGTTGTTTGAGTTAGCTCTTTCAAAGCTAGCTTGGGTATGTCTACTTGTGCTGCCGTCATACCTGGGATTGCAGTGAAGACCTACCCTCAGTCTCTGTTGAAACTGGGACATAATCACTTTTGAAATTTTAATCCTACACCTTTAACAAAAAAGCATCAAAAGCTATTTCACAATTCATCAGAGAATTTTTAGTGATGTAAGTGTCATTGTTTTTTGTATTCCTTAAGCCCTAATCCTGCAAAGAACCCTGCTACGTGGGCAGACCCTTCCAGCTATGTGGAGCCTCAGTGACTTGAATGATACTCCATGCAGGCACAAGGGAATGCACACACAGAGATCACTGCAGGACTAGGCCCCGTTAGTTGCTATTAGCCCAACTGTATAGGTCTGAGCATATAACCAATTATATGAACTTTAGGGCATACTGCAAAGATTCTTTATTTGCTAGGTCTGTAGGGAAGGATGGGATTTGGGGGTGATATGGTATATATTTTGTTGTTTTAAATTTCTGGCTGGTTAATTTAAAGTTGGTGCATGTGATGGGCAGGAGAGGAGGCATGGGCTTTGCTGTGCTACTTATTCCTTGTAAGGACTGTTATTTTAAAAATATGTTCAGGGCATCCAAGGATGTGGATAGGCACCTGATTTTAATTTTTTTAATGGAAAGAAAAAGATAATTTAGGAATTCACTAAGATTTACCTAAAATAGAAATTACTGGACATAAGTTATATCTCACACCTAGAAACAAATGCTGTTTATCCAACTGTAAAGAAGACAATATGCACATCCTAGTCATGCTGAGTTGCAAGTTATCAGACTATAATGATGCTACTGCTCTGGGGCTGGATATTCCGTCTATGAACTCCAATAAGTGTATTTTGGGGAAATTCAAAATTTGAGGAGAAAAAAAAACATTTTACTGGCACATTTTGTTGTGGGTTTTAAAGATGGTTGCGTATAACTACTCACAGGCTTGGAAAGCAAGAAGTAGTCCAGTTAGTGAACATAGTGCAGATGAAGGAAAGATAAACAGCAAAAGCCATATATTCTATATTTATCACTATCACAACAGACAATATTACATTAGACAGAATATGTACTTTTCCTACTTAAGCATATATTTTATGTATTAAATATTTTGAGTTATCTGACAAACGTTCTGTTCTCATGCCAGACAAGGTGAGTGTCTGCTGGTGCACATGGTAGTAAGGCTTTGTATAAATGCCAGTTCATGAACTCTCTTTGTATAAATCAATACATAGAAATGGGAATTTCACTTGAGGCAGACAGGTAGCATCTTGTCAGTAGGATGGGTCAAAACTATGAAAGAAAACAAAGCACTTCTTGAACTATCCTGCCATAAGTCTGCAACAGTACATATTTACTTAATAGAATCATTGCAGTGTTTTATTCCTAGTTATTATCCTCTGCCTGTTTTGTTTATATGAATGCTTTTGTTAAGAGAGCACCCTGCCATAATGGAATGTTCCCCTTAGAGGAAAGTTACTGCTAACTCCTCAATAGTCAATCAGGAATCTTCAAGGTTGTGAGAACTTCATGAGATCAGACATTTAAGCGCAGCTCCATGGAGGTAATTAGGCACCTAACCGTCAGACTTAGGCTCCACTGAAATCCGCAAAACTCCCGCTCAGCTGCTGCCTACCCCTCTAGGTGCCCAAACTCACTTGGTGCCTACTTTTTTGCAGTAGAACTTCCCTTGGAGCCTCGGTTTCTGCCTTTGGGCATGTGCACTGCTGCTTTCCTCGAGGTGTCCTGGCACTTACCTCCCACCTAAGCCCCAGAGAGAGCCACAAACTGAAGGAAAACAGGTGTTCAGGCACTTAACATGCATGTGAGACCCAGTCTGACCAAGTACCATTCAAAACTCTGGGTGGGGGTCCCCATCTTATAACTTTTAGCCCAGTAGTTAGGGATATGGGAGACCCTTGTTCCATTCCCCCCTCTGCTCGATAGGGAGAAAGGATTTTAAAAGGCTCACAGATGGATACGCTAGCTGCCAGGCTAAAGAGTCACTCACTCTCACCTTCTCTGGTCCAACGGCTCTTCAGGTATTTATCCACCAGCAGCAGTTTTGTGTGGAGTGAGGCAGGCACATCAATCATTCTCACAAGAAACAATTTAGGATCCTAAGCTGTCTGACTCCTGGAAAGAGGTTCCCGGCTGTGGATCACTAGCAGCCCTTGGATATGGCGAATCGGGGTGACCGTTCAGGGTCCTGCACTTTGGGGGGCACCGTTGGCTAGTATGATTGGCCGGTGCGGTCAGTCCCAGAAGTGACGGGTCGGTCCCAGAAGTGACGAATTCAACACTTCTGCCCTGGGCCCCACACCCTGCTAGGGACAGCCCTGACTAGCAGAGACAGGCATCTCTCTGCCAGTCTGGACTTAGTTGCCAACTCTATGATAGGGGTGGGACTTAAGATACACCCCTCTCATCAATATCTCCCATTGGCTAGCTTAGGTGGCTCCCTGCCTAACATGCTGGCTTTTATGGATCACATTCTAAGGCACCTATTTCTCCTCATTAATTATATGGGAAGCCTAGGTGCCCAACTCAGGCTTTGTGGATCAGAGTGCTGTTCCTGCAATTTCCTAGGTGGATAAAATCAGGCATTGTGAAGCTTAGAGTTGGAACACCTAAGTCCTTCTGTGGATCCTGGCCTTAGTACCTAACATCTGCCAGGTTTGCATAGATGTACTTGTGGGCAAAACTTGCCCTTAAGTGTGATTCACAATGTTGGTTAACCCTGGATGTCGATTGGCTGGTAAAGAAGCGATGATTTATAATGAAAGTGGTGCCAGAAGCACATTTTCATCTGTTCTTAAAATACTGACTTGGCTACTGGTCAAACACATGGATTTTAAAATTAGTCTCTAAACTTCTAAGATATTATGTGTATTTGCTTCAACCCCATCAAAATCTTCTAATTCTATAAAAAGAAAAGGAGTACTTGTGGCACCTTAGAGACTAAAAAAATTATTTGAGCATAAGGTTTCATGAACTACAGCTCACTTCATCGGATGCATTCCTCAGTGGGATCAGAGGCTAATGGCCTGTAGAAAGTGGTGTTGGAGAGCTGCCTACCAGCCTCTTGTTCATATTCCGACCTATTCATGATGACGACAGCCCCTCCTTTGTCAGCCTTTTTGATTATGATGTCAGAGTTGTTTCTGAGGCTGTGGATGGCATTGCGTTCCGCATGGCTGAGGTTATGGGGCAAGTGATGCTGCTTTTCCACAATTTCAGCCCGTGCACGTCAGCGGAAGCACTCTATGTAGAAGTCCAGTCTGTTGTTTCGACCTTCAGGACTTCAGGAGGAGTCCACCCAGAATCGTTCTTTTTGTGTTGGTAGGAAGGTCTCTAGGGGTTAGTATGCTGTTCAGAGGTGTGTTGGAAATATTCCTTGAGTCAGAGACATCGAAGATAGGATTTTCGGTCACCACAGAACTGTATCATGTTCATGGGGGTGGAGGGGCAGAAAGAGAGGCCCTGAAATAGGACAGATTCTTCTGCTGGGCGAAGAGTATAAGTGGATAGATTAACAATATTGCTGGGTGGGTTAAGGGAACCACTGTTGTGGCCCCTTGTGGCATGCAGTAGTTTAGATAGTTTAGTGTCCTTTTTCTTTTGTAGAGAAGTAAAGTCTGTGTTGTAAATGGCTTGTCTAGTTTTTGTAAAGTCCAGCCACGAGGAAGTTTGTGTGGAAGGTTGGTATTTTATGAGAGTATCCAGTTTTGAGAGCTCATACTTAATCTTTCCCTGTTTGCTGTACAGGATGTTGATCAGGTGATTCCGCAGTTTCTTTGAGAGCATGTGGCACAACCTGTCAGCATAGTCTGTGTCGTATATAGATTGTAATGGATTTTTTACCTTCGGTCCTTTTTGGTATGATGTCCATCTGTTTGCATTTGGAAAGGGAGATGATGTCTGTCTGTATCTGTATGAGTTTTTTCATAAAGTTGATAGATTTCCACTCCATATGGCTAAATTCAGTGCCTTGCATAATGACAGGTTTCAGAGTAGCAGCCGTGTTAGTCTGTATTCGCAAAAAGAAAAGGAGTACTTGTGGCACCTTAGAGACGAACACATTTATTTGAGCATAAGTTTTCGTGAGCTACAGCTCACTTCATTGGAATGGATTTGATGAAGTGAGCTGTAGCTCGTGAAAGCTTATGCTCAAATAAATTTGTTAGTCTGTAAGGTGCTTCAAGTACTCCTTTTCAGACTAACACGGCTGCTACTCTGAAACTTTTTAATTCTATGTTACCAGTTTTCCCTGGAAACCTGCTGGAAGCATCTTCTGTGGTGGTTCCAAACATTGGACACAAACTTTGTGGAGCAACAGGTTTGGCTTGTCATCCTTCAAACTCACTTTTGTCTGAGAGCAAGGAGTCTTCACTTTTGTAGCCATGTTGGTCCCAGGATATTAGGGACACAAGGCAGGTGAGGAAATATCTTTTATCGGACCAACCTCAGTTGGTGAAAGAGACAAGCTTGTCTCTTTCACCAACCTTGAGTGCAAGGAGCTCAGCCTCATTCTATTTAAATCCACTTTGAAAACTGCAGCTCTTTTCATGTTTTTTTAACACTTACTTGTTTTATGTCAGGGTTGCAAGATCAAAAGATATTTTAAATAACTGATGAGTTCTACCAGGTGGAGCACATTGGGATGCATGTCATGAAAGTCAATATAAAATTAATCTATAGTATAGTCTGGTGACAAAAATGAGTATTTGTTTTTAAATGGATAGGCTATATTCTGCTGTAAGTAACACCCCTGCAACCCCACTGAAAACAATGAGGGGTAGTAAAAGTCTAATAGGAGAGCTGAATGCAGCCCAATATTTCTCAAATTAAACTGCAGTTAATTATAAGAAGCCATGTTTTTCAAGTGTGTTTACCTTTCTCTTATTTTATAGCTTTGTAGAGTATTTAGGTTTTGCTTCCCAAAGCTGGCTGCTATCTTTCTGCTCATGATTCTCAACTGCATTTGTAGGTGCAGAGAATCAAGTTCTTGGAGAAGAACTGGCTCAATGCCACTATTCATGGCTAGGACTCACTTGCAAATTCCAAACAGCAGATGTTCATTAGCAGCAAGTAGTAATGTATTTTTGAAGTCATTCTGAGAAATTAAGATGTAGCCTCAATGCACCAAGTGAAATGATAAAATTATAAGAGGCTTTTTTGTTCCGTCCAAATGAATTTTTTTTAACTGCCTTCAAAATAAACAGCTAAGCAGAAGGCACCCATTAGTTATGTAATCATAATAGCTGTTCTTCAAGAACTGGAACATTCCTGAAGGAACACTTCCAATTTCTTGCTCGTCTGTGCTTACAATTACCAATCCACTAACGGTTGTTATGAACTGCACCCTGTTGATTACAGAAGTCTGCAGATAGTTGGCTGGAGTTCCTTAGCCTGACTCTTAAATCACAGGATGTCTACCAGCTAATGCTCTCTCTTTCTCCCTCTCTCTCATTGTCTCTTTCCCTACTTCCTTTCAATTTCCATGAGGAGCAACTGCCATAGTTTTCTTTTTCCAATACCTTCTGCAGCCTGGAGCGTGTCCTTGATGAACTGTCCAAGAGACTGGGCTCTGTCATTACTCCTCTCAGCAGCCTGCCCGGTTTGTTCTCCATCTGCCGTCACCTTGGTAGCCTAGTGATCCAAATTGAGGAAAAGTATAATTAATGGACATGACAAGACTGCACCAGGAGATATTCCAACTGGCTGAATCCACTTGCAAATCTTTCCTCGAGCAAAAGGCAAATCGATGAATTATTGATCAGATGTACGAGAAATGACACACACTGCTCAAGTACACAATTACATTTTATTTCCTCTTCCATTAAATGGAAATTGGAGGGCTTTATTTTTGGTTCTTGGAAATGCTAGTTGTGTGGAACAGCACACAAAGGGACTCAAGTTGAGAACATTCTTTGAATGTGTTTAAAGGAATATTGTTCAAAAGCTTTTAATGGATATTTCAGGGCGTACTTCCACTAGTTTCACTATGTGATTGATTTCCTGATGACAGAGTGCAGTATACACAGCACTCCCTATCTGGTACCTCCCCTGAGGTGTTTTTGAAGAAGACATGGCCTGTCTCAGTAAGTTAGTAGAATTTTAAATCAATACATTAATTAACTGGAGGAAGAAAGAAAAAGAGAAAGAAAAGGAAGAAGAATTACTCTTTCATTCATTTTACTTAAAATCTTTTGTATATAACATTTTCAAGTGATCAATACAGTTTTGACTACGACCACCTTCATGATTTATAGTTTTAATGAATCACAACAGATCAGGATGGAGATGAACATCAAACACAAGTCTGACAAAGCACTAGTCAGAAAAAAAAACATCCAAATACATTCATATTTATTTTTAAATTCAAAAATCCCTATTTATAATACACCTACATTCATCATACGATATCTGACCATTTCTTGCAAACATTTCATATACTGAGTGCAAACACTATTTCATGGAGGAAAATAAGCTGTTTGTGTAGGAATGTGATTGCCCAGAAGGAACATCCCAGGCAACAGGGCATCATGCTCTCTCCAGTTCCTGGGAAAGGGTTGAAAGATCTACATGACCTGGAGCAAGCTTACATTTTATCTGGCTACAGCTATGCAAATCCTGTTCTCAGTTATGAACAAGCATTGCAATAATCTAGTCCAGGGAAATTAATGACACTTTAAAACTCTGAGTCTTGTCCAAGCTGGCTGTGTGTGAATCCTTACTTATCACACTAGATCTTGCCCAATCCCTAAATCTGCTCAGGAAAACTGAATACTTGTTACTGCACAGAAATGGCTTTAAAAATCCAAGAAGTACAATAATGTATAGTACTTAAAGCATAAATGGCCAAACTTGTCCTTGAAATAAAATCCATGGATGATTTTGGTCTATTATACTGACCTGCTTCACAGTAATTACAACATAGGTAATTTACATTAAAAATGGTTGAGGTGAGTAGAAGCATCAGTCTTACACTGACCATTAAAAGAACATGGGCTCGTCACTTCTATGCAAGTTATGCCTGTGTTACTGGATGATCAAACCTTTAAAATGTGCCTCAGAGGCAGAACTTGCTGGGTAAATTATACAGGGCATCCAGTACAGGTGATTGGTGGATGTACCTGGTGTTGATGGACCACTGGTCTAATCCAGGATGGCATTTCTGATGTCATTTTGTTCCTCATGTATTTGAGAATTGTCCTATTATTTATCGTCACATCTTCTGCAATCATCCTTTTATTCTCTGCCTTTGATTTTCCTAGAATGTTTTACATGCACTTCACTTTGTTCTATAATATTCTTGTCCTTCACTACAAATGATGTTTTATAACTTGCATATACCTTTCTTATCCTTGATTACTTTTTTCACATTCACATTAATTCAGATTGGCCTTTTTTAACTCTCACTATTTATGGCTGTATGCCATGTATTATATTTTGGCGCAAATTAATCTGTCTTTGAACAGTTTCCATTTCCCCTCTGTGACCATTCCCTTAACTCTTTAAATGCATTCAGCTCCACTGAATGCTTCTTGTATTCAACCATAATTTGCTCTACTGGAAAATAAATTTTTCACTTTAATTTTTCTCTTTTTTGGACTAACTTCAACTCTACAAACCAAATTAAATAACCGATAGCATCACTCAGACGCTGTCTCACCATAACATAGACAATCAGGGGTCACTCTTTGTTAGTAAAGTGCCAACTATTTGCCATGTATTGAGTTCATTAGAATTCCCCATATCTACGGGGCAGGCTTCAACTGAAGAAAACACTGCTAATATTGAAAGTTACATCTCAAACTCCTTTCTGAGAAACTACCAAAGCCAGCCAGATAAGAACTAGAGGAAGGTGGTAGAGTGACATCCATGAATGAGTTTTTAAACAGGGTTGCGGGGGCTTCAAAAGTTACAGAATTTTAGACACAAGGTAAACCCTTTGGGATAACAAGGATCTATCCCAGGGAAATTCAGGAAGAGGGAATGTTTTTAAGTCCTGCGGTCCTACAAGTATCTTGTGTGGCTAGGGTTCACAGGTGGCACACATCCATACAGATATAATCTTTATTCTCCACTGCATTTGGATCCCTTTCTGCCAAATCTGAAATCCACACAAATATTACCCTCAGCCCTCAGCCCTACTTCTCCCTCTGTGCAATAGAATCTCCTAATACCATCTGCTCTGACTGAAGGGACTCATACTATGGTGCTGCTTCCATCCGCTGCATGCCACCAGGGGAATAGCTCTACCAAGAGCTTCTACCGAACACATGCTTTAGGTGGAGTGAACATGCAACGCAGACATATATTTGGCTAATTCAGGTGGGCTGCACAGAGGCAGGGTTTGGCCCCCCTTCAAGTACCTCCTGCTATCTACAGCCAACGTTGCCTCGGCCACCTACTTTTCCAGATCCAGCAACGGGGTTTTCTTAGTCGTCGCGGCTGTCATGGATGGATATAGGGACGTCCTGATTTGCAGGGTAAGGTGTGGGTGAAGAGGTTTTCTGACTCTCTCTGGGAAGCTCAGCCCTTACAGTTGCAGTCCCCAATACACCACCTTAGTCTCAGGGCATGGCTACGCTTGCCGATGTAGAGCACTTTGAGTTCAACCCGCCTTCGGAGAGCGCAGTAGGGAAAGCGCTGCCGTCTGTCCACACTGACAGCTGCAAGCACACTGGCGCAGCCACATTTGCGGCACTTGCAGTGGCATTGGGAGCGGTGCATTATGGGCAGCTATCCCAGCATGCAAGTAGCTGCAATGTGTTTTTCAAATGGGGGGTGGGGTGGGGTGGAGAGTGACAGGGAGTATGTTGTGTGTATGTGGGGGGAGAGAGAGTGGGTTTTTGGGGGGCTGAGAGCATGTCAGTATGCTGTCTTGTAAATTCAGACAGCAACAGACACCCCTTAGCCCCCTCTCTCACACATAGCATTCCACAGTAATGGTTGCTTTGTCTCGGAGCAGATAAGCAGCCGGCTCTCAGAAACGGAGCTTTCAAAGGGCATTTCCGCATTCCTGCAGCCAATTCCAAACAATGACAAGAGTGGCCACTTGATTTAAGGGGATTATGGGACATTTCCGGAGGCTGATCAGAGCGCAGTAAAGCAACACCTCGTTCACACTGGCGCCGCGGTGCTCCAGCGAGGGTGAAGCAAACATTATTCCACTTACCGAGGTGGAATACCAGCAGCGCTGTAGCTGCGGAGTCAGAGTGCTCTACGTGCCTTTCCAGTGTGGATGGGTAGTGAGCTAGTGCACCCAGGGCTCCTTTACTGTGCTGTAACTCACAAGTGTAGCCAAGCCCTCCATGAGGGTGGACTGTAAGAAATGAGTGAATGGAAATGTGAGTGAGGGAGAATAAAGTTAAATGGAAAGCCTGAAGGGGAGAAAAAAATGAGCTGATGGAAAGGGAAGAATGAAGCAAGCACCTGCAAGCTAATGAGGTGTGAATGTGAAGGTGAATGAATTGGCAATGAATATGAATGTAGATGAATGAGGGAGTATGGATGGAGGAGAAGACAGCAGGGAGAGATAGGAGGATGGCAGCCACTCTGGAGGGGAGGAAAGAGTGGATGAGAAGTTGTTCTGACTGACCAAACACAATGAAGGGGTTGCAGAAGGTTAAATACTGTGTTCTCCTGACCTTTACATTAAATGTATGGCAATTTTCTTCATGAACCCCTAATCTAGAAAATATCATTTCCCCTGCTTGCAGTTATAAGAGTCCTCTTCTATTTAAGGTCTGTGATGCCTAAGACCTTATAATTTGTATTAAAAGATGAAAATAAAGAGATAATGAATGAGCCTGCTTTACATTACTATTTGGAGTACACACACACTCCCTCTCTTCAGGCACATGCACACATGTGCACACACACACACAAACACACACACTGTAATTCTGAAGGGATTTACAAAATAATATACTTATATAAAATGTACACAGGCAATAGCCAAAACCACTATCTTAAAGTGGCTTAAAACTACAACACAGGACTCTCTTTAGGGAAGGAGTCTAAAATTACATGGAACTTTTAAAATTTCAGGGGAATACTCAGCAGCTGATGTTAGCAATACAACTCTCAGTGTCATCTGTGTGTGTTAATTAATGTCCAGAGCAGCAATTCAACTACTTTGCTGAATATCGTCTCTCCAGGTCTGCCAGTCCTATATATTAATGTTCCATCAAATACTTGGAACTTCAGCACTTCTGATATCAATTCCCCTTCTTAGAGTTCTCGACCATTAGGTGGCACACTTTATATTCTTTTCCTTTCAGACTCTCTCTCTGATGACCTAACAATATTCCAATCTCTGCACTGAAGCTCTAATCTGAAATAAAAGCTTTCCTAATAAAAGGAATAACTAGCACATAGAATTGACATCCAGAGATCCTCAGCTCCCCAAAATAAAAAAGTGTTTTAAAAATTATTTGATTTATCGCTGTAAATGCCATTGCCATTTTGATAGCCCCACTGATTGACTCTTTGTGATAACTAGATTTGATTTTAAATCAGAAATTTCTCTGTCTTGCTGTGCAATTCTTAAGTGGAAACTGAAACAACTCACAGTGCTGTATAGCAGTGGTTCTCAACCTACAGCCTGCTTGCAGCCCAATCAGCACACAGCTGCAGCC